TTAAAATCAAGTGACATTTCAGACCTAATCTAGGTCTCTTTAACATGTATAATAAATTAGGAAATTTTAAATAATAATTTCATTTCTCTATCACAAATATCCTTTGTTAAGCATTCTGTAGGAGCAGGGGGGGAAACTAAAACTATAAAAGTCTATTACAAACCTGCACAGAATGCATACAGAAACAGTAGAAGTATACCATTTTGTATGCCCATCAGTAGTGCTTTCAGTTGTACAGTAGGTTGTCATACAGTGAAAGCTTGCTTCAGTCAGGTTGATTTTCTTCTTCTTGATTTTTGCTTCCTTCTGGTGGGACTTGCAACAAGTCCATTCATATGCCAAGGAGAAAAAACTTCAAAACATATTTTCTCCATTTGAAAAATACTTCAGTGACTTATTTTGACCCCCTCCACATACACAATGTAATGTTCAATCTTGAATGTTATAAAGTACAAATGTAGGCCCCTGACAAATAGAGGGTTGTGTCTTTTTTTTCTTTGCTCCAGTCTGCTATATGGCAAGCCACTGCGTTTTTACATGTGAATCCCTTGGTGCAGGTTTGGGGGTGGGGTGGGACTGGAACAGGACAAGAAGCAGAGCAAACATTATTATTCCCACCCCCCAGTTCCCCCCTTCCCTTTTCATCCCCAACCCACACTTCCTTGTCCCAGTGCAAGTAAGGAGAACCTGCTTCTGTATGCGTATCACTTGTAGGATTAGTAATTATGATCTTAAATCAGATGCATTTGATATCTGGAGGTTGCCAGTCAACATTACATTGCTTTCAGTGGAGTGCACACTTGAATGTGCATTGGATGGGCATTCAATTTAGTTATTTCTGATCTAGCAAGGGAAATGTTCGTTGAAACAAATTTTCTCATGTGTCAGTCTAAGTGCACCTTGCATCATGAACTTTGTGGCTGCCTGTTGCAGCCCATTGCTCAAGCCAGAAGTGGTCTGTTTGGCATGTCTCCAGAGCATGGGAAGAGTTGGGCTCCAATAATACATACTCTCTCCCAACTGCTATACCTGTCAGGCCCAAGGAAAACAACCCACTTGGCAAAATGGCTTGTGTCTGCATGCTATCTGCTGCCAGTAATCAGAGGCAGTATAAAGGGTGCATGTATGCACAGTCCTGACCTGCCAGGTGAGTGGGGGAGATAATTTTAAAGAATAAGTTACCCATCTACATATCTTTAGTGTGTTGGTGTTTTAATATGTAGAGAACCTACTTCAGATCTCTCCTTTCTTGCTGCTCAGCATGTTCACTTGTTGCATATGTCTCATTTGAAAATAGCAAGACTGATCTCTAGATTTTTTAAAAATATACAATATGATAGAATGGTTTTTTTTTAAAGACTTGCAAACATTTACTCTTGATACTGCAAGACTATTTACTATACTCAAAGGTTTTAGCAGGTTCCTTAAAGGCAGAAAATCTGAATGTATTAAATTCTGTATTCAGGCTTTCCAGAACCCATAGGGGTCAAAGCTTGTTATCTGCTGCAAGGAACACAGTCCTTTACATAAATTCTCTAATTTCCAGCAGCATTAAGGCTTGACATGATTATTCACCCTCATTTCTCCAAGGATAGGAAGCTACAAGTAGAGAAAGCCTCAGGAAAGGGAAGAACTAACTCTCCAAGGTTTCATGCAGTGGCCTGGGATAAGCTGGGGTAGAGATCAGGCTCATAACTTGATCTTGCAAGAAACACACAGGCAGTAGCAGCCAGAAGGTAGAGAAAGAGGAGCATTATATTGTTGATAAAATGCATGAACAGTTCACCTCAGTAGGGCTATTGAAGAGGATGCAACAGTGCATGAAATGTTGGGGTTCCAGTACTCCAGGATCTGCAGTGCTAAAGAGCCTTTCTTTGCCCTGTTATCAGTGGAGACATTCATGTCCATAACAATAAATAAACAGGATTTATCTATACATGTTATATGCATTTTCAGCTGACTGTAGTGTGGTGTAGTGGTTAAGAGCGGTAGTCTTGTAATCTGGGGAACTGGGTTCTCATCTCCGCTCCTCCACATGCAGCTGCTGGGTGACCTTGGGCTAGTCTCACTTCTCTGAAGTCTCTCAGCCCCACTCACCTCACAGAATGTTTGTTGTGGGGGAGGAAGGGAAAGGAGATTGCTAGCCGCTTTGAGACTCCTTAGGGTAGTGATAAAGCGGGATATCAAATCCAAACTCCTTCTTCTTCTTCTTATATACCATTAATATGAACGACAGTGACTCTAGATGTAAGCTGATATCAGTAGTAGTTAACTAAACTAGATGTCTAGCAGGAGATTGTAGAGATGTAGTCATCCTCAGGGCATGTCATTTTAGAGGGTTAAACTTATTTTTTCAAATTTCTTCAGGCGGGGTCTTAAAAATATGTTTTGTGATTGGAAAACATTTAGCTTCGTAAGTACGTTTGATGAAGAAGCACATGAACTGCTTTTGGAAAACCAAACATTTTTAATTTTGCCTTCTTAAAATGATAGTGCTTTATTGTTTTTATGCTGTATTTTTGTATACTGCTTTGGAATTCTTAAATATTAACTGGTGTTGAAATACTTTTTAACAAATAGATGCATTCAAATGAAAGACATTCCCCAACCTTTTACTTTTATGGGGAGCAGGTACAGAAAGAACTTGCTTTTGGCTTCTCAGGCAACCGGGAATATACTAGAGCCATCATTTTTTCACAGCTCCTTACAAGAAATTTCTGAAGTTCTTTGAACCTGAGGCTCTCTGACATGAGAAGATAATGCTTTAATTCCATCCGAAAAATTATTCATTTTTCTGCATTAATCAGCTCTAGCTGATCTGTGAGGCTGAAAGTTAAGTGTCCTTATGGTTTTGGGGTGTGAGGAAAGGATTAGCCTCTTAAGGAGTGGTAACTTCATATTTATTATAAAAAATCCTTCAGAACCAGATGCTGAGCTGGAGCGGAAAACATAATATAGCTGCTTTCCAGAGGCTTAAAAATCTAATGGGAGCTCCTTTTTAAATTATAAATTATTATGTGCATCTCAGATGAACCTATATTCTCATATTGTTTATATGCAAATTTAAATGTAAATCGTCTATTAATTAAAAACAGATTAAAATAGGATAATGTAGCTGCCTTAAATATTAATCATACACATCTTCTTTTCTTAGTATCTTCTTGTCTCTTCAATTAATATTAACGTTAACTAGATATTAACATGGAGGGGAAAGACTACAATCACCTCTGCATAATGCTAGATGCTGTAAAGTATGCAGAGTAGGATGAAGCCAGCACTTTTGATTTATTTTCCTGGTGTTGTTGACTCCTGTGGCACATGATATATGATTCATATGTAATGTTCTGTCAGAATACGTCAAGATTCTTTGGTGTCTGCTCTTAAGTGCTACATCTTAATTATAAACCCTGAGCCATATGCCCTCTCTCTTTATTCCTTGTGAATTTCTGTGCTCGCTCTTAATGTTGCATTACCTCATCTAGTTTCACCTTTGCTATAAATCTCCCCCCCCCCCAGCAATTCCTCAGTTTGGGCTGTTACTTTGCAATTCATGAGCACTTGTACTCACCCCCGCCCCCAGTTTTTCCGAGTTTTTGCATACGTGTCACTGTTCGCATTAATTTCCTTTTTGTTTGCAGCATGCTATTAAATAATGAGCTCCTGAATGTAGATCTGAGATTCTTTCTATCTTAGCCATTTTTGCCATGCTTTCATGTGGTCCAACATACTACAGCAAAACATAGCATGCAGGATTAAACTATGAAGTACTCTATATTACACCTAGTCCAGTGCAAAACTTCTCAGCTTTCAAAATTCTAGTATTAGTGTATTTTTGTTAAATTGGAGCATTTCTGATAGAAGCAAGCTCAGGTTAACCCACTCAGCTCAGCTAGTTACATACATAGTTTATGTATCTAAGTTTCTCAACCCTCTTTCAGTAGTGCCTTCATCTAAATACCAACTAAGATCTGAAGAGTTGCTTAGACTCCTGCAAAGCAGCTTGGCCTAGTGACTAGTGACATTTTTGACTGCTGGCTTCCTCATATCATATCTGGATGGTTCAGTTGGTTAGAGAGTGGTGCTGATAATGCCAAGGTTTCAGGTTTGATCCCCATTTGGGACATCTGCATATTCCTGCATTGCAGGGAGTTGTACTACATGATCCCCAGGGTCCCTTCCAACTCCACAATTCTATGATACCACAAACTGAGTACAGTATTTGAAGCTTCCTCTTGTTTCAAGAAGCAGTTGTGGCATAGGGGCCTACTGCTCAAGAGAAGTCTGACTTACAGAACTAGTTTCATAGTTCTTTGGATCACAATAAGCTTCTTTTGCTAAAAAGAAGTAGTAGTAGTAATACAAGTTTAATTAACTGCAGGCAAGTTCTATAGACTTTTATAAACAAAAGTACAGTAGTACCTCTGGTTACAGACGCTTCAGGTTACACGTTTTTGGGTTGCGCACTGTGCCGAACCCAGAAGTACCAGAATGGGTTACTTCCAGGTTTCAGCACATGCACAGAAGCGCTAAATTGCAACCCGCACGTGCGCAGACGCGCCGCTGCGGGTTGCGAACATGCCTCCCGCATGGATCACGTTCGCAACCTGAGGTTCCACTGTATAAGCAAGGGAATTTGCAGCCATTGCATTGTGCATTAAAATTATGTTTTTGAAATCTGGATAAATACGCAAAGTTGACACACTTTGATTGCAACATTGATGAAGTAAATATAAATACAAGGGAAGAAATATGGAAGCATTACTATTTCTCTCACAATGAACTATTGGGCTGTGTACTGTTGACTTCTATCTTGCCAGATGCCTGTATTGCTTCGTTCTTTTATCAATACGGTACTGCATAAACCTTAGGAAAGAATTTGATCAAACCATTTTATTATAGTTATATTTAAATCAATGACTGCCTATGAGTTGGTATTCTAGAGATGGTAACATTCTCTCTTAATCCGAGTCCTAATGGTTTTTGTATTTGTGTAATCTCAGAATAACGACAATGAGACGGCACTGCACTGTGCAGCTCAGTATGGCCATACAGAAGTGGTGAAGGTTCTTCTGGAGGAGTTGACTGACCCTACTATGCGCAATAACAAGTTTGAGACTCCTCTTGACTTGGCTGCACTCTACGGGAGATTAGAAGTTGTGAAAATGTTGCTCAATGCTCATCCCAATCTTTTAAGCTGCAATACTAAGAAACACACACCTTTGCATCTGGCTGCTAGGAATGGCCATAAAGCTGTAGTTCATGTTCTCCTGGATGCTGGCATGGATAACAACTACCAGGTACTTTGTTTGGGAGTTTTGTGAATTTAATATTGAAGTAATGTTCTGGGTATCAGATATTGGCATTAACTCTTTTGGGAGAGGTACTAAGTTAAATGAAGCCTAATCAGAGCTCTCCTTTGGAAATACCTTGAGGATTACAGGGGTTGACCTGCAGGTTCAGTTCCAGACTGCTGTGATCTCTCTGGCAAGCATGCCCCCATAGCAAGTTTACAGAAGCGGCTGCATTTTCAACTAATTTCCCAACCTTTCTGTGTTACTGCTCCTTTCACAAAGGGAAACACACAAGATTCTTAAGACTGAATTAGAGGTGAAGTAGCTTCTGGTGTGGATTAGAGGTTAAGTAGTTTCTGATTGATGTGGTTCAAAGTGATTACTCGTAATTTTGAAGAAGCTGTCTTAAACACTAGAATCTCAGTACTGGTAAAGAAGCTTGGGGGATTTTTTTTTCTAGTTGTGGATGAGCTGTAGCAGCTGGCTTTTGTTTGTGAAATGAGTCCTTGCGTATGTGCAAGTGTTGCCTTCAATGTTCTCTGATTGCATTCACAACTTGGATTCATGCTGTGTTTGATTTACAGACGGAAAAAGGCAGTGCTTTGCACGAAGCTGCTTTATTTGGCAAAACAGATGTAGTACAGATACTGCTAGCTGCGGGTGAGAATCTTTCTGCTAAAATGATGTATCAGTTGTACTGTGATCTTTAGACTGTAGTGAATGTTTGGGGAATATTTTTTTTTCTTTCATTGCAAACATCCTGCAATATAAGCTGTATTTAGGCCTCTGAAGGTCTTTCCCTCCATCAGCCTTTTAAAAGTTATGTTCCATAACCAAGCATCAATGTTAATAAAAGCTAAATAGAACTTACTAAAACTTCATATCTAACTATCATAGACACCACAAATCAGTCCAAAGAGAGAAGGTCTTGCTATACTTCCCAAACTGGTTTGGGGGTTGTTATATGTCTTCAAGGAAGGGAATTTTATAACTTTGGTCTGGCCATCAGAAAGACTATTTGCATAGCTTTGTCTGGACATAGCACAAGGCTGGAATAATTGGGACTGTGTTCTCAGCAGATTCAGAAATTCTGCAATAGGACAGAGATTTTTTTTTCTATTCCAGGATAATAGTTGTATTCATGTCATAGCAAAAATAGCAAAGATGAATAATATTATCTTGGTATAAATTTATTCCATAATAAAATTGTTAATCTTTAAAGTGTCCCTGATTCTGTTTGGTTTGGTTATTTATGTAAGAAGCCTTATATTAAGCAATATAATGCAGCCATAATCATTATTTAGAGGTCAAGAATTTGTGCACTACAAATTCTCCCCACAGTTTGCTTTCACCACAGTTGAGTGCCAAATTTACATCAGGGATTAATTACATTTAAGGTTTGCCAGGATCAGATTTAAAAAAAAATATAAAATGGAAAGCCTTTACACAACTTTAGGATTCCTGAATTGCTTTAACTGTTGTATGCATCAGCGCAGCAATACTAAACTATGATTAAAGCAAGCCTTGGAAAGAAGGCAGAATGCACATGGAAGAGATTACACCAGCCCTGGACTTTTCTTGATGTTTATATCAGGGTTTGAGTATGAAAAAGTTTTATCTGCGTCAGACATCTGACCCGGATGCTTGTACATCTTTTAAGTGTTCTGTTTTGCAGTTCACAATTTGACCATGAATTTTTTAATGATAGACTGTGTATAAAGCCACATTTTAATGAAAAATAAATTGTAACCCTTTCTATATATGTCTTAAGGCATTGATGTGAATATAAAAGATAACAGAGGCCTGACTGCTTTGGAGATTGTGAGGGAACTTCCATCTCAGAAAAGCCAACAAATAGCAGCTCTCATTGAAGGTAAGTCACTTGTGCAACAGGGCTTCCACTCCCCCTCCTCATCATCCCCCCACCCCAAATTTGGCTCTGGCAGAAGTTGGGAGAACCCTTAGAGCAGTGTGTGAGTAGAGGAGAGGAGTTCTCATTCCATCTGGCAAGCTGCATTGCTTGCACAGAGGAAACAATTGAAAGAGTGTGACGTTGAATTCCACCTAATATTATTGTACACATGCACAAAGTGTGGTGACTTAGACTAACTGAAGCAACTTATAAAGTTTTGGGTTGTTTAGTGAACTCTAATGCGGGTGTGAAAACTGACTTCTAGTAAAAGTGTGTGTGGTGTATGATGAGTGTTGAATTTGATTATTTAGCACTTCAGTTTTCCTTATCCAATTTCAGATGCGTATGACTATAATACACCTTGTAATTGGCTCTTGACGTGCTGTTGATGGAATTGGCATCATTAACTTATGCCATCAATGAGAAAGCAAGGCCAATCGAAGCATTTGTTTCTAGACATAATAGGCTTAGTACTATTTGACTTTTTGTCAAATTTGTAGCATCCAAGTATAATGAGCACATATTAAATTTGTCAGTTCTGAATAAATTAAAAGTAAGCTGGTATGTTCTCTGTAAGACATCTACCACTGCTGCTTCTACATATTCTTCGTTTCTACAGCTGACTTGCCCTTTTTATTTTTTCAGATTGCACAACAGGGAAGAAGATTGCAAAAGCAGAAGACAAGACACCGCCAGCATCAGCTACCTCTACTGAAACCTCAGTTCGTGTCCCCCAGGGTAAGAAATTGGGTGGAAAGGAAAACTTTAGTTGTAGTCAGTTCCTATTATAACACATGCTCTTGCAGGGTGTATGCGAGGCATGTCTCATACTACAACAAGTACTGAAGTAATTTTATTGAGGTTGTTGTGATTATTTGTAAGCATGCTATTTTCTACAGTCTGACTATTAATGTTTGTACAGATTTTTTGGGCGGTACCTATAAATCCAAGAAGGATGATTTTTAGCACCCACCACCAGTATTGCTTTATTTGTTGAATAGTTGATATAAAGAAAGATTAGAACCCAAGAGGCTGAATTTTTGTTAATCTGCATAGCAAGGGAATAAGAGAAGACAGTTAAGTTAAATTTGTGCAGGTGGCTATTTCACTGAATGTGATATTGCACCCATGTTTGCTTGTCTGGCACAGTCATTTAGTACACTGTTGCTTACTGCCCAATTATATTATCCTTGCTTCTCTTTTATTCCCTTCTCCCTTCATCAGATCTAATGTTCTTTCTGTTTAATTTCTGCAATCTGGTGTCCCTATATTTTGTATGTTTTCTGGGCCTTTTCAAATCCCAGTGTCCCTGGACCTTTTCCAGTTGTGTGTCAGCATGGGATGACTACAACTGTTGTTGATTATTTGTGGCTTAGGGCCCTCGTATTTATGGGACCGCCTCTCCTGGTATGCCCTGCAGAGGACCTTAAGGCCCATGAATAATCATAGTTTAGAGGTCCCGGGCCTAAGGAAGTCAGATTATCTTCCACCAGGGCCAGGGCCTTCTTAGTGATGGCTCCAACCTGGTGGAATGCTCTGTCCCATGAGACCAGGGCCCTGCAGGATTTAACCTCCTTCCACAGGGCCTGTAAGACAGAGCTATTCCGCCTGGCTTTTAGTTTGAATTTAGCTTGATCTTTTATTCCCCTTCCTTCCTTCCCTCCCCCTCCCCTTTTTATGAAGATTACCCACTCTAGGATCCCACAGCTAATTCTCCCCTGGCTTCCTCGCTGACCCTAATTTAGCCAGCTAGCCCTGGTGATCATCTAATGTTCATTGGATGGATTTCCCCCTAAATTGATCTTTGAACTTTGAATTTATTCACGCTTTTATACTTTTATGTTTTTTGTTGTATCACAATTAAGTGTTTTAAATTTGTTGTTAGCTGCCCTGAGCCCAGTTTTCTGAACCAGGAAGAGCAGGGTATAAATAAAAATTTATTATTTATTATTATTTATCAATTTCTGTTTCCTCTAGGCAATGTGGAGAAAGCAGTGACAGAGCTGATCATAGATTTTGATGGAAAGCCAGATGAGTGTCCATATGAAGCCTTGTACAATGCAACATCCTGCCATTCTTTAGACAGCCTTGCCAGTGGAAGATCTTCAGACAGAGATTCAGTGAATAGGGAAGCGGAGATGACCAGTGTTAAAGTGACAGGAGTGAGGCCTGTATGTAACCTGATGTGTGTTGTCTGTTTCCTTTTTATGGAAAGTAGTCTGGGATATATCTCCAGGCCTGTGCACTCTCCACACTTGCAGTAAGTTGATAGCCTAGCTGTACAGTTTGACCATAATATTAAATAATTGCAACAGGCTTTGCTTACTGAGCAATTGGAAGCCACTCCCTGCTGCATGTGCTACGCGTGATGTTCTCCCAGAGCTCTTGAGCATTATAACTTCATGATGTGATGGCTATCCGGATTTTGGTGAAATTCTACACCAGTATATTTGGCTGTTGAATGTGTTCACTGTAATGAATCTCTTCATGTTGCTCCTGCTACCTCAGGTTGTTCACTGAGTTACAAGGAAAGAAGCTTGTGCAGAGCATGACCTTCATTTAAATATTTTTGTTTTCCATCCAGCTTTCCTCCATCCAAAGAATGTTGAATGCCAGGCTTCTCTGTCACATTGTTAGTTCGTGATTTTAGTTTGGGAGCAAATCAATTATTTATAGAATTTGTAGATGCAATCCAGTAGGGGGAGCTTGGGGGCTTTACAGGATAATTATATAGCTTCAGTATGATTATATAGCTTTCCTGAAAGCAGTCTTGCCTAAAAGGATCTGCGTCTGCTGGATCTAGTATCTCAAGGTCTGTACAGACTATGGAGCAGATACAGTTGTGTATTGGAAGCATGCCACCTTGCCTTCATTACTTAATAGCTTCATAGAAAACTGTAGAAATACACACTGAGCAATACTGGAGCAGAAGAAAACAGACAAAAGCTAACAGCTAACTGAGAAGAATAGCACTATAGCCTAGTGCAGTCTGGAATATACTAATAAAGTAAAGATTGATTACTCCATATCATAAGCATACAAATCAATGGAAAACCACACAGTGAACTAAACCTGAACATGGATTGTTTTTGCATGGGTAGTCTTTGTGTCAGACAGGCTCATCTTATATCTGGGGCAAGAAGAACATGAGATGGACACAAAGCATGGCAGTTAGATGAAGATGGGCCTATAACAGGGAACACTGCAGCAGCAATCCTGATCAGGAAGCCTTTTATACAGACCAAGGAAGAACCACATCTTCTGGCATTTTAGGCAGCTGGCTTGTTGAGTGCCTTCCTTATAGTGTCTTAATTTGGTGTGTGCATGTCGATCTATAACCTTGCCTGACTCACAGCGGCGGAGCATATGCCCGCGCTGCCCAGGCGCACTCCCGAGGGTGGCGGGGCGTAGAGGGTGCCCTCCCAGGCACGGGATAGCCGCTCGGGTGCACAGAGCGATGCATGCGCCCTGCAGCCGGGGGCAGAGTGAGCCGCCAATGGCGGACATTTGGTGTGCCGCCTGCCTGTGACTGCCAAATGTCACCCCCTTCAGCAAAGACACCCGGGGCGGTCTGCCCCCCTCCCCTCCGCCCCTGCTGACTCAGTTTCTATGCTCATTTCTGGCCCACCCTGGCATTAATGTCTGCTGGTGTGGTTTTTAGAAACATAATGAAGTTTTAGGATGTTAATGAAGCAGAATTTAAGGAAGGTGCCCAGAGCATTACTTCCATGCCAACTTTCCATGTACTTGTGAAATGTAGTATATCCAATACTGGTTGCCTGAAACTAGCTATCTACGTCAATCATTAGATAGTGCAAAGTGCATGCAAAAGCTCTCTGGTGGCACTAATGCAAAGACAGATATTTTACTTATTTTATTTAAAACCACTTATATACTGCCTAATATTATACGTTTGTGTGAGTGCATAATGGTCATTTAAAACCAGCTAAAATACAAAGACATTAAAATCAAGACAATAACGTATGATAGATACAGTAGCAAGCATAACCAGCTAAAACGCAGTGAGTCGGATAAATGTGCCCCAAAGGCCTGAGTAAGTAAATAGGCTTTCAGCAAGCAGTAGAAACACATCACGGTTGCCACTTGCCTGATTTATGAGGGGAAGTGTTTCCACAGGGTGGTGCCACAACAGAAAAGATAGGTGCCAGGCAGATAGTACATCACAGTGCCCCCGCAGTGAAGCTCTGTGATTTCAAAGCACTGCCATATCATCAAACATTAGCAAATTCTCTCTAGCCCGTCTAGTTATGAACTGTAACACAGTAATGAGATCATTATTTTAAAACATTAAATTGCCATCAACAGAGGTATTAAGGGAGGCAAGGTCAGTTCTTCCAGGGCATACCTGCTGCTTCCAAAAAGATCTGAAAGTTGGGAATGAATTTGGCACAGGATACTGACAGTGGTTTTCTGTACTGTAGAGAGAGCGTCCGCCGCCTCCTGCCAAGCCTCCCCCTGATGAAGAGGAGGAACTTGTAGAGAAGCAAAGTTCATCTTCTAAGGTAAGTGTATTGTTTCCCTCTGAGGGGCTGTTATCGTGGAGGAAGTTTCTTTAAACATTTTAATATCTTAGAAGACCTAGATATTTTTTTCTACACTTCTGTGATTATTATCAAAGTTAGGGTTGCAATCAACTAACTTTTACTTGTAGTAGGCCCATTGGAATTAATGGCCATGTCTAACTTACATCTATTAATTTCAGTAGGTCTACTCTGAGTAAACATTAGCTGAATACAAGCCTTAGTATCTTTCCAGTATACCACCTACTTCCAACTCCATCCTCACTCTTGTTTAGAGCATCTAGATCTTTCATTCCACAACTGGCAATCTGTTAGACATGCACCTTTGGAATACAATTCTGCCTGGTGTATTCCTCGACCCTAGTTTGACAGAATATTTCTCCTTTGAAGAAAAGTTCACATTAGGCACTGAAAACTCTGCTTCAGTTCAGACATGGTTTCCTGTAAATGCAACCACAATGTAAGGTGCTGGAGTTGGAAAAACACCTAGACATTCTTGATATTCTCATTCTCTGTGCCTATATATGGCCACATGAATTCAGCCCTTCCCTCTGGCATCACTTTTGACACCAACCCCTATATAGTAGTTGTATTTTCTTCAGTCCTGGGAAGGTCTAGATTTATTTATTTTGTTTAGTAATTAAATTTGTATACCACCCGTCATACTTGGATCTCAGGATAGTTCACAACAGATAATGTTGCAACTTATCATTCTAAGGCAAGCGTGCTGCTACAATATACTTACCACTTCCTGCATTTCACTAGTGCCTGTTTTACACTTTAAGGACAGTACAATAGCATCTTATGCACATTTAACTTGTGCCATTTCACCCTCCCGTGGTTGAAGCTGGCTGGTTGAAATTGCACAAATTAAATGCACGCAAGGCAGAGTGCTTAAAAGCTCTTTTTGCCCTGGGTTTTCCTGGCGTGAAAAGAGCTTTTGAGCTCTCTGCTTTGTTTACCAAGCAAGGCTCACTCAGCACGCAGGCTCTAGGATGCTTTTGCGAGATCTCATAGGGCTGTCTGAGTTACTGCAAGATCTCATGTGACCCTCCCTAGACTTCCAGAGCCAGCACACCGAGGGGGTCTTGCCCAGTAAGCAAGGCAGAGAGCTTAAACGCTCTTTTCATGCTGGGTTGCCCAAGCAAACCCAGTGCAAAGCCTGGGGATGGTTGTGTGAGATCTCATGGAAACGTGGACAGCCCCACAAGATCTTGTGAGAGCATCCTGGAGCATATGCACTTACCAGGTAAGGCCTTCTTGATGTACTGGATCTGCAAGGGTAAGGAGTGCTTGTGTATAGGCAGTTCCAAGGGGGCAGTTTGTGTATATGCACCATTTCCAGAACGTAACCCCCATATAAGGTACAGTTGTACTGCATTGGTACTAAAGGACTCTGAGGGCACTGCAAAGTGTGCTTCAAATTGCAGTACTATAGCAGAAAATGGGGATTTTGGTATGGGTCATTTGAGGTGGAAGAGAAACAGCATTAAGGGACTTGTGGGTATAGTTGAGGCAGAACGGTAATGGGATTGTAGGAAGAGGGAAAGTGTTATCTGTCGGTAAAGAAGACACTGTAGCACTGAAGGTTATACTCCTGAGACTTCAATCTCTTAAGCATATTCCATGACCAAAAAGAGCCTCGTCAGTGACACTGCTAGCTTTTACCTAATTGCACATGCCATGTGTGTGTCTTTGTGTTTGGTCAGGGTTTTGTCAGCAAGAGGAAGAGCAGGGGAAGCACAGCCGATGAAGAGGAGGAGCATCCTTATGAGCTGCTGCTAACAGCAGAAACTAAGAAACATTCTGCAACAGATAAAAAAACAAAAGGTAAAAGTTATTGCAAATATATGTAATTAGCATGTATTGGGCAGAAGATGAGACGTTCAAACCATTATTGTTTTAGTTGGGTGGGCAGGCTTATTTTGCAGTGACTGTCTGATAAGATACTTTTGTAAGATTTTGGTTAAACTATTTCTTCCTTGGCATCTTATTCGTGATGGAGTGTTCATTTTTCTGGTACCTGTGAAGACTACTAGTGTCTTAACTTTTTTGTTTTACAATAGTTTTAATTTGGAAAAATAAAGCTAGGTGGAAATCTCTCATCTGGGCAACAAGTCATTGGTATGCAAGGATTAGTGGAACAGCTCTGATCAAAGTATCTACCAATGCACCAACTGATATGGCTTCCTTTGACATAATCTGCTCTTTTTGTTGAAGCCTGCTGGGAAAGTAATTAACAAAGGAGAGAGGCAAACACATACAAACAAATCTCCTATTGACCCACCTAATGGAAATTAACTATTCCCTCATATTCAATACTTAATTATTCTGTCCTACAGGAGCCCAGCTAATGTGTCTTGCATGTGATTTGATAACTGCGATGTTCTTTGAATTTTGTTGTTACAAAGCTTGCACCCCTACTACTTCAAGTGAGAGGTAACTTGAGAGCACTTCATGTGTTACATTTTCCTCTAAATATATATATATATATAGAGAGAGAGAGAGAGAGAGAAATATTATTAAATGGTCAACTCATAAAACATAAAATTCAGAATAAATGACCAACCCTGAATCAAATAAATTCTCTAAAAATATTACTAAAACAAAAATATTTTCAGCAGTTGACAGCATATCAGAATTGTGGGTCTATACCTGCTTTCAGTAGGAACAATATTCTAAATTACTGGTGGCACTATGCTAAAAGCCTTGGTTTGCATGAAAACTAAGCACTGCTGTTCAAAGGACAGCATGTAAATCATGTACCCTGCTCCTATGCATATTGATTTGAAAGAAAGTCCTAATATGTTCAGTGGGACATACAGACAACTCCACATGTACGTGTGTTCAACTCTTGCATGACTGCATATATGTGCGGCTCCGGGAAATAAATCAATAATTCATTTTAAACTGGCAAAAGGTGCAAAAATGGCCCCCAAACAGCACAAAAACTGCAAAAAATGTGTTGAAAATGGCTAGTAAGTGCCGCTGGTTTTTAAAAGGGTCTCCAGAGGTTTAGAGGGCGTTTACAGGCTTTTTAGATTATGTTCCCCATTATACATCTAGACCGGATAGTTGGGAGGTGGCCTGCTCTTGATGGGATTACACTCTCAGCTTGGGTACCCAGCTTAGGGGATCCATCGCTTTTGCTTGAGGCACAGGTGGTCTCAGTGGAGCAGATTGTCTTCCATCAGCTTTGGATGGTGGCCCAGCTGCACCCCTATCTGGATAGGAATAGCCTAACTTTTGTTGTCTATGCTCCAGTAACCCCTAGGTTAGATTACTGCTATGTTGGGAATCTGATGTGAAAGACCTACATAGTTCCAGTCACCACACACAGGCAGCTTAAGGTCCCAAACAGTTCACTGCTGCAGAAGATAAAAGCTTCAGTAATACAGTTCTGGACGTTGATATATACCTAGGTTTTGCAGATACAGGTATATAAAAGTACAAGGAATCTCTGTTACCACAGTAATTCAAAACGTAATACAGACGCCAACTCCCTTCACAATACTCACTGACTGACTAATAAGCTGACAAGGACTGCCTCTCCCCATATGAACTGACCCAGCCCCTATGACAGAGCTTTCTAAACTTTTCATGTCAGTGACATGCTTTTAAGACATGCATAATTTCACGACACTAATTCAGTTTTATCAGCAAACCGGAGGTTAAACGAACCCCTTTCTAGCCCTGGGAGGAGCACGGGGAGTGTTTGCATGACACACCTACACACTGCAGCCGACACACTTACATATCACGACACACAGTTTGAAAAGCTCTGCCCTATGAAAGACATCTGAGGCCCTTGTTTGTGTGCCTCTTTTATCAGAAAGTAGATGATGAGGATTGAATGTGGGGCAATGCTTTCCTACTGAACTATGGTCCTTCATAGTTTTATGCAGCCCAACTTTTACTGTTGTACTGCTGATAGTAATCTAGTGTTGTGACATAGTTCCCCAATTTTGACAGTTGCCTCCAAACAACTGTCCTCCAGGTAGGATTTATGTTGCCGTTCCCCTACCCCCATTTTCTTTCTGAGCATGATCTACTCCTTTAGGCTATAAGCGGTTATCCACATGATGGAGGAAAAGTTGACACACCGCTTTGTAGGGCTGGAAAACCACCTGTCTGTTTGGAAACTGTATTTGAGTGATCCCACCTTCCACAGTTACCTGCTGCCCTTCTCTTAACTGTTACTGGCCAAGGACAGGAATTCATAGTTAAATATTTTTATTTTTAAATTCTTAGGTGAATCATCTTCAGGTCCTGCCAGCAGTGTTCCAGCCACAGGTAGGACAGGATTGATCCTTAATATGCATTGAACCTAAATATAATGGATATAAACAGCTTGGGAGGGAAATCTTAACATTTTATGTTTACTGTAGGAGCAAAAACAATTTGCAGCTTATATGCAAGTTAGTCAGTATAGGCTTAAGTGGTAAAGGACTGTACATGAAGTAAGGAAGAAGGAAATGCCTGTGACTTCCTCATGTGATGTATTTGCCTAGTGGGGAAAGTTGTAATAAATTATGATGGGAAGTATAACATCATGTTCTTTGAGGTCTCATGGGTTATTTGGAAAATGGAATCAAAATGGAAACATGAACTCACTATTATTTACTTATTTAATAAAAAAATTATATACACTGCAGCTGACACACTAATGTGTTGTGACACACAGTTTGGAAAACACTGTTTTATAGAGAGATACTTTACTACTGGGCTACTTCTTCCCTGCCAAGATGTACTTGTAAGCTAAGGAGGTTATGGTCTTCCTGTAATGGCTGCATGTTTTGCAGAACAAACCAGATGGAAAGCCAAGTATGGTAGCTTTCTAGATTAAATTTCCAGTATAAGCAACAGACATATCATTTATGCATGTATTATATTTGCGTCCCATCTTTTCTTCCACATGCTCAGTTTTATCCACATAACAAGCTTACGTACCTCATACCTACAGGACCGCCTCTCCTGGTATGCCCCACGGAGGACCTTAAGGTCCATATATAGCAACATGCTAGAGGTCCCAGGTCCTAAGAAAGTTAGATTAGCCTCAACCAGAGCCAGGGCCTTCTCAACACTGGCTCTGGCCTGGTGGAATGCTCTGTCTCATGAGACCAGGGCCCTGCGGGATCTGATTTATTTCCGCAGGGCTGTAAGACAGAGTTGTTCCACCTGGCCTTTGGCTTAGAATCAGTTTGATTCCCTCCCCCTCTTTCTTTTTCCTTTCTCCTCCTGTGAAGAGGCTGCATCCTAATGTTTTAATGTTGTTTTTTAATCTTTTTAAAATTGTATTTTAATCAACTTGTTTTTATTATTGGTTGTTAGCCGCCCTGAGCCCGGTCTTGGCTGGGGAGGGCAGGGTATAAATAAAAAATATTATTATTATTATTATTATTATTATTATTATTATTATTATTATTATTAGATAGGTTAGGACATGTTTGATGAATATTGCTGTGGTAACATGTTCAGGAAGGTTTGTCATGACCACCAAAAAGGGAGATGCAAAATCAAATGTAACAGAAAAAAAGCAGAAAGTAGTACGGTCAGGACATAGTACAATATGTGTGTACAATTGGCCTGCTTGCTGGTTTGGTGTGCAATATGGTACCAGGCATCTGGTATTAGAGTTGGCATTTTGAGAATCCCATGCTTCCACATTCTAAAAACCATATTTTCTAATCATCATGGTTGTAAAGAGCAGCTTCGAAATAAGCAGGGAGCATCTGATTTATCAAAACAAGGAGGTAGGCATTTTCAGGGGCTCAGGGCTCCAGTGTTTCCTATGCTATTTTCTTTTCCCTTAACCTAATTCATGATCTAATTCATGCTCTAAACCAACGTTTTGTCCTTTTCACCCTTCTATTCCTTTCTGCCACTTGTCAAAGTTCCCACTTATACAAAGTCACATTTTGAAACCTTGGAAGCTGGGATACATAGAAAACATTTTGAACTTAAGTTGCAGAAGTATTATTCTGGGTGTAGAGTTTGCGCTTTGGCACATGCTGCTTTGATAATGGCATTGGAACTTAAATAATATAAGATCCTTTTGCAGGCCTGGCCACGAAAAGGTCAGTCTTCCCAAGATTGCCAGTGGCCACTGAATTGCCAAGCTTCTTCTGACTTTTCTTCTAGTCATTCTGAGCAATATCCAAGTCCTGAATCAAAAGGTAAGTGCTCATACAAAGTCTTTCCAATTTCACTGAAGTGTACTTACTTAGAAAAAAGCAACACCAGTTTTTCTGATCTCAAAGCATAGTTTAGAGTGTTAAATATGGAGCATTACTAAAACGCTTGCAAAGGTTTCTCACAAGACTTTGCTCATGACAGACAATATTTTTCTGTTTGCTGTTTTGCTTTTAGGAGATGGAAAGCACATCCACTGTTTCACTTGAACAGTGACCCTATTGTTGGGCTTCATTGCTGGCTTTGGGACAGTCAAATGTTCCAGTGTGCAACACACACTGTCAGCTGCTTCTCCACCCTCTGAATGCAGTGCTGCTAAATATTAACATTACGTATAGATACCACATTAAATAGTCTCAGTCCTTGCACAAAAGCTGGGAAGACATTCTGCACTTTTATCTCATTCTTGCCTCTGACCTTTAGCCAAGGCTGGATTAAAATGGTTGTGGATCCCAGTGCAGTTCCCAAAATTGGGCCCCCCTTCCTCTAAAAAAAGAACACATGAAATAAGGTACCAAAAAATAACTATTGTAGTATATTAAAGCCTGAGAAATTAATTATGGTATCATATTTTGTGGACTACAAAATATGCTCTGAGCCTGAGGAGTTTGACAGCTCTCAGCAAACCCCAAACAAAACCTTGATAAACAAACAAACAACAAAAATACTCTGAACACATGAAGTTTCACATTATAAACTCATATAAGTCATAATTGTTTCTTGTTCACTTTCTGCCTTGGGCCAGTCACCAACTCTCAGCCTAGCCTACCTCACATGGCTGTTGTGGAAATATAAAAGAAGCTCTAAAATGGCTACAAAGGGGGACTTAGGGCTTGAAACCCTAGGCATAACATTTTGATTCCTTTAACCAAGAGTGATATGTACTATAAAAGGCCATGTTTTTGGTCCTGCCTCTTTCTGCCCTTTAAACACCATCCCGTATTTAGCTATTAAGGACCTTTGTATTGTAGTTAGGATGCTAGGTGGGGGAAGGTCTTTAAATTTCACTTTTACCTATAGTGAGTATTGGAAATTGTATTAATAAAACTGTCTCTTCACTACAAACTTTTGAATAATTCATATCTGCCAATGCTTTAAATCAGGTTCCTCTTATTTGATACTAGACTTATGTTTTAATTTGTTGTTAAGTGTCACGTTTCAGCAGCAGTTCATATTGCAAGCAATAGGGCAATCCACTCTGTGTAGAGGAATTTGTTAATGAGAAGCAAGCTTTTGGTGGAGTTAACCTCACTATAGAGCTCTTATTTCTCTTGCATAAGGAGGTGAGCTCAAGCCACTAGGGAAGGAAGCAGCTGTAGGGAGGAGGGGGAAATGTTTTTGAACTTGCAGGTTGTTTGCAGCTTTTATTTTTCCCCACCCAGTGCTCTGTGCCAAGGGTAGGGAGTGCTGCTCTAAATAACACTTTGGCCTTTATGGAAATATCTTGTGTTCCAGGAGTCTCAGCCTGCCCCTCTCTCTGCAGAGTATAGTTAGCACTTCTCCAAACCTTATATAGCAAGGGCTGATTGTTAGTGTTAACAGGAATAAAATGAAACGGGGCGGGCTGCCAGATTGCATAAATCAGGCCAGTGTTTGGAATTTCATAAATGCTCTGACTTCGGGTACGATCTGAGCACTCAGAACAATACTGAACTGTTCTTTTTAATTTCTCCCTCTCAGTGAGGGAAAGCCGAAGCTCTGTTTCTTAATTTCTGTGTTTGGCCTTTGTTTTTTTGTTTTGCTTCCATCTTACCGAAGACCAAAGGAGGAGCAGCAACAGCCAAGCAGATGCCCAAGATGTCCAAGTGCTGGATCAGTTCTCAGGTCTGCTGCATGGTTCTTCTCCGGTGTGTGAAATAAATGAGGACCCTTTCAGGCTTATTTCTGCTGTGGGCAAAGGAAGTACCGAGGGGACTGCTATGCAGCTTGAAGATGCTGAGGAATCCATATCGGTACAGACTAGCAGTGCAGACCAAAATAAAGTGGTCTATTCAACTGTTCGCCATACCAGTGACAACAAGTTGGACCCTGAAACTTTAGCACATCCTCACTTGCCACAGCACCCTGGTGGTGCTGAGGAAGGAGACAAGAGCAGTGTTGTGGGCAGAATTTACCCAGGAGGCAAGCCCAGAGCAGAACTCAAACTCAGCCGTAGCTTGTCAAAATCGGACTCTGACCTCTTGACCACCTCCCCAACAGAGGACGATACTATGGGGAGCAGAAGTGAATCACTTTCCAATTGTAGTGCTGGAAAGAAAAGGCTGGAGAAATCACCTTCATTTGCTTCAGAGTGGGATGAGGTAAGGCTGACCTTGACCTTATAAATCTGTTTTCGGTGGAATATTGTTGCAAGAGTTGATTTTAATACCGCATTTTGGAGGGTAAAAAGATTGGAGACGATGCTTTTTTGTCATATCTCTGTTTTACTTCCCCTTTTTGTAGATAATTACAATTTATCCTCATAAATTGAACCTGGAGCTCTGAACATAGTTGGTGCAGAATTGAGGGGGGGTGCTTAAAAGATTTTTAAACATATTGTTAGAAATTCAGGTTCAGGGTGTGAATTCCCTTGGCTTGTCTGTGACTTTGTAGAATGAATTCTGTACTGCTGGGGTGGGGGGGGGTGGGGGGGGAGGAAGCTGAAAGTGCTGGAGAATCAGTTGTCACATTGGAAAAGCTTCCACAGCTTAGTCTCTCTAGAATAGCTTGTAGAAAAGAGTGGGTCACATATCTAGGTCACCACTGTCTGCTTTGTATAAATGAGAAGTCATCAGTAAAGATGAGGAGTTCCTAAATACTTTTGCACAGGTAGCATAAAGGAACTAGTTCAGAAGATTAATAGAAAGCCAGCTTACTGTTACATGCGCAAGACCACTAACTGGTTAAACTTGCTGATAGAAAGTTGCCTTAGTGAATAACTCAGCTAAGATTAAGTGTCCCTCTTGAAGCTTCACCACAGCATTACTGAAGCATTCTTCAGTAATGCTGATTCTACGGACTCTAAAAGTAGAGTCACATGAAAGATGCAAGTATAAACTGCTTCTAAATAATTAAAAGGGGCTCAAACTCCAACTGAGGGTCAGTTTTGAGGAACTACATGTCCAGTCTAAAACGAATGTAAAGGGAATTCGCTTGTCTGGCAAATTACATCCGTTGTGAAATAATGGAGTCACTATTTATGTAAAAGAATCACTATTTATATAGTTCAGTGGCATGTCTTTGTAATCATAAGAAATAGATTAACCTTTATATTAAATGATTCTGCACATTTGGGAAGATGACAATTTATTTAAAATAACAGGAGGACCTGTCCTGTGCCCACCTAGCCAGGGTGACAGTGGGATATAGTTTCCAAAAATACTGTGAGCATGGGATTATTTTGGAAGCATTGTTCTCCAAATCTAACACTATATGCATTCTGTGTCTTATTTTTGAAGTACCGGTAATACTGTCTATTTTTTAAAAAGTACAACATTTTCTTTTACCAAAACTACATAGGTAGCAAATAATGAACCTGAGGAGGGGGTGGGCTACTGATAGAAAGGAGTGAGGGTGCAGGGGAGGAGAGGTGGGATTAAGAGTTCATGACTCCCTGTGTGTATCTGTCTTCACTTAGGACTTTCATTAGCCCAAGCAGTGTTATGCAAACAAGTCCATATACGTATGGAGTCATATGCCACAGCATTTTTCTTCTTGCTTTGCCTGCAAAAGGCTAGTCCATCACATGACAAAAGTATAGGAAGTTGTAGGAAGAAAAATTGGGAGTGGAACACATTTAATCTATAGTCGAGGTCTAGAAGATTATGCTTGCAGATTTTGTGCTAGCTCTGAGTTCATTGGTTTTGTGGATTCAGTAGATTCAGCCCTTTTGTGCTCTAATGTTTTCAGGTATCTGCAATACACATGCCTAAATTTTCACCTGTCAAATAATCACCTCTATGTCTGGCAGCTGAAGGAAGTATCAGGCAAAATTAATATAATCAGCTGACTGCAGAAAAATCTGTTTTACAAAACAGCAGAATTGTTTTTCCATAAGGAATTGGATTCCTTTAATATTAAAACAATAAAAATACCTGTACTAAGCATCAGAAACAAATATTTGTTTTATCAAGGTGGGTGGTTATGCACAGTGGTGTGTTCTGTTTGCATTGCTGTGGATTAATGCCATGACTGGTAATTTTGTACTGTTTGCTGGAAGTGCTACATATGATTCAATTTATGTTAGGGTTAAATATATTACATTGCATATAATAACAGTTCTTGGTCTGGAAACTGTCTCATGCATTGCAAAAATGAATACTGCCATTAACACTTGCAGTTTTGATCTTAGTTACTAACTCCTATCTAAATATTTTGTGTTGGAAAATTATAAATGAGTGCAACTGCTGTCTAAACTTGTATATAGTGGCCTTGAATAGTTCAAGATGTTCTGTTTCCCAAACAGGGCATTGAAGAGCTTTCACAATACCTTTCCAATGATGTTTTAATGTTCAGTCTGTTTCTTTCAGAATTATTGGTTACATCATCTTTAAAGACTCTGATTGGGGTCAGTGATACTAGGACTATAGAGAACTGCTGGAACAGTTACTCATCCTGCTGTTCTGTACTAATGGTTATTTGCTGTTCCATCTGTGTTCTGATGATAGTCTAGGCTGCATTTTGAAAAAATAAAGCAAGTCCAGCTCTTGACTCATGTATTTGGTAGCTATTTAGCAGAATGCTAATTGCTGTTAAAAGAACTGCTTTAACTCACATGCAGTTTACTGAGCTGGTTAGAAAATAGACTTTTCCTTTCATAGGAGATCATAGTACTTCCTCTTCTCCCATGTGAAATTCCTCTTTCCTTGTCAGCATTAACCATTATCTAGCTGAGTCTAGATGAAGGCTGGTATCCAACAAAGTCATCATGTTAGCGCAAGGATTTTTGCCTTCAACACAGAATTTCCTCTCCCCTATCTGCTCTAAATAAAAAAAATATATTGTCCAGTAGCACCTTAGAGACCAGCTAAGTTTGTTCTGGGTATAAGCTTTGTATGCATGCTTATACCCAGAACAAACTTAGTTGGTCTCTAAGGTGCTACTGGACAATTTTTTATTTATTTCGACTGTGTCAGACCAACACGGCTACCTACCTGAATCTATCTGCTCCAGATAGTTCAAGGAACCCCCAGAACAGATTTAGGTATAACCTGAAACCTGCGCTGACTAGAGACTAATCCAGTATGGTCTGCAGTCTCCATCTGTAGGCTGAGTTATATCCAGACCAGCCAAACTTTTGGCTGCCTCTGCACAGCATCCAAACAGCTAAAGGAAAGCTTGCTCATTATTTTGTGACATGTTGCTTCCTCCTAATAAAGCTGTTGCCAGGTTGTGGATTTTTGCATATTTTTCTTGTGGACCAAGGCACCTTCTTTTTGCTTTCATTGATTTTATATGGAAATAAGTATGGTTAACTTAATCTGAATGTAACCCAGGGCACATTAAAGTTGTTAGGTTAGCGTTTTAACCAGGAGTTTAGCACTGGTTTGCAACCATGTTTAATGTAACTCTTAACAGATGCAAAGCTATCTCATGATTAACACTGACAAGGAGAGGGAAATAACTCAAGTGTGGGGAGATTGAAATTTACTCATAATTTCTTAAATAGTTAGCTAAGTTGAAGTTATGTCTACACTAGGCATCATTAGAAATTTATGTTCTCTTAAAATACCTTGATACTTTCATGAAAATCCTGTGTTAATATATTGATCCTATCATTATAAGAGAACAAGGATGGTGTTCATGGTGAGTTCCGGCATCTTTTTCTAGAAAACCAGCACTGTGTATAAGTTAGGTTAAAATGGGAAGGAATGACCTGTTTATAGGTGCTCACTTTCGTTCCCAGCCTGAAGCTGCTTAAGGCAGAGTTCTGCCCTACCTTGAGCCCTTAAGTAAGACAGATACTACTGGCTTGTCAGTAAGAGCCTTTTCCGAGCCAATGGGGCACACTATATACCTCAGATCCTGCCCCAATTTGTAGGCTTGTTGAATGGCAAAGGCTGAAGTCGGCACCCTGACAATGGCTTAAAAGCAGGGTGTAGAAATATCAAAGGAAGAAGCAAAACATAATATAGCAGAACCTTGCTTATTGCTTCACTTCACTGTGGAATAAATTAAGGATTGAATTTATGTCTGAAGTGGGCTGTAGTTAGTATAAATATTTGAATGCCTTTAAACTTAGCTGAAGGCTAAAGTGGTAAATTTGTTTCTGTAATCTGCTCATAAATATTCAGCTGACGTGAATTCAGTGTGCAGCAGTCAAAGCACACTAAATTTTACATAATGTGAATAAATTGCTTTTGTACTTGAAGGATGTGTGACGCCTCTGCCAGGATGTGAAATGCTGGCATTCCAGTTTCAGAATCATGTTTAACTTGTATATATGCATTTTTTCAGGTGTAGAACAACTTTAGACTCCACTTTGTATGGCTTTGATTATTTTAAAGGACGGTCTGTCCCATTCAAGCAAATGAGCAGAACAGTACTTAATACTTATTTTTACTTATTTATGAATGGGTGTTCTCACCATGTCTCACCTGGTAATGGGCTGGATGAGAGCCAATAATCTGAAGATCAATCCAAACAAGACAAAGGCACTTAGTGGGTGGTTCCCTTGACCAGATGGATGGGATCAGAGTAGATATGCAGCTTGGAGGTACTTCTGAATCAGTTCCGGTTGTTGGAGGCTCAAGTGGCTTTGGTGGCACCGAGTGTCTTCCACCAACTTTAATTGTTAACTATTCTGGGGTTTGCTTGGGACGCGGGTGGCGCTGTGGGTTAAACTACAGAGCCTAGGACTTGCTGATCAGAAGGTTGGCGGTTCGAATCCCCACGACGGGGTGAGCTCCCGTTGCTCGGTCCCAGCTCCTGCCAACCTAGCAGTTCGAAAGCACATCAAAGTGCAAGTAGCTAAATAGGTACCGCTCTGGCGGGAAAGTAAATGGCATTTCCATGTGCTGCTCTAGTTCGCCAGAAGCGGCATAGTCATGCTGGCCACATGACCCGCAAGCTGTACGCCAGCTCCCTCGGCCAATAAAGCGAGATGAGCACCACAATCCCAGAGTCGGCCACGACTGGACCTAATGGTCAGGGGTCCCTATACCTTTACCTTTATGCTATGGTTAAAGGTAAAGTAAAGGTACCCCTGCCCGTACGGGCCAGTCTTGACAGACTCTGGGGTTGTGCGCCCATCTCACTCAAGAGGCCGGGGGCCAGTGTCCGGAGACACTTCTGGGTCACGTGGCCAGCATGACAAAGCTGC